TCTAGTGCGCCCGGAAGACGACATGACGTAAGGTGCTAGTAGAGTAAAGCTTCGTGGAGCCGTTAGTGAGGGTTGTGTGTAGGTTCGACTTGCACTGGGCGGAGAGAAGCTTAGGTATTGTGTGCTAAAATGCACGAATTTACTTAGGATGTGTAAGTCGCGATAGGGAAGACCTCTTATAAGACTAGTACGTAACCCACATGGAGGAATTATGAGGTATATGTAATGTGGTATTGACTAACCTGCAATGAGACATTAACCTAAATTAGTTTTCCATTACAAAATAATTTCTCAGGTAGAATTGTTATATCGATAGTCCCAAGATATGTTAACCACGAAATGATGCCGTATTTTGAAGAAGCCTACTTTCATCCGTTAGAAAATCTTTTTTCTAGATTTTCGATGTACTTTTGGTACAAAAAATTATGAAAATATTACGAGATTTTTGAAACCGTGAATGGTTTCTTCATGCGGCCTTATAGTTGCACGTTTATTGATGCTGATTAAATAGAGTCTACGTTCGGGGCAAAAGGTTTATGAACCCGTATATCTTCTTAATGGCGTAGTGGCCCAATTCATGTCATCTTGCACGTTACAGTGGGCACAAGCACTTGTAAGGGTGTGTTGACCGCTTTTTATAAGTACATATATACAATTGAGAAATAGTAATAAACACTCACAAAACGGCATTAACGGATTCACGAAAACTTTGCAATAATATTGCATAAACTTAAGCGAGTTTAGGACTTAAAGCAAGTATAAAGAGTACAGATTGTTTGTTTATAAATCCGACTAAAAAAGCCTTGAGTTCTGAAGACGCGAAAAATGCCTATAAAGTTGACCAATACATGTAAATGTACCCTTCGGGTGATATCTTAATCACGCCATTCTCTTTATATTAAGATAAGTTTTTCCTTTGTGAAATTACTTTATAGAAATTTATAGTCCTGGATTACAATTAATTTGATATTGCTCTTTAAATTCTGGCAAAATTTCCATGATTTTCAGTGGTTACAAGCCTTCTTCCATAAATGCAATCTCTGTTCGACATTAATATCAAAACCTCTAAAAGAAGATATTTCTCAACAGCAGTTATCAAAAAGGTGACTCTGTGGATAGTAACTCTTATGAAGATGGGAATATGGGCCACATTTATAAACTACACAAGACGGCAAAATTCATTGTCGAGCAAAAAGAATATCCGCAACAAAAATCTGGCATTTGTATGCCTAAGATCGAGGTTGCCTCTTCAAGAAGCACCTTACTTGGCTTCTAAGCTAGCAAATATCTGTGCATTTCATATTTTTCTAGGGTATAGCCGAAGTGTAAATGAAAAATGTTGGCCAGTTTTTTAATCTACTTGAAAGAAAGTGATGCAGCTTCGGCTGGAAGTGACAGAACTCACTCCTCTCTTTATACTGCAGGATTTTTCACCAGTTTTGGTTACTTTTGTGTCCTGTATACAACCGGGTCTACCTTCATAGCAAACGGTTATGAACTCGTTATGATATCCTCTTAATATCGTGGGTAGATTGATAATTTTCCCTACAAGCAAAGTATAGAGCATGCAAACCCTGACCAAAAACTCAAATGCAGGTCAGTTTAAACATTTTCAGTGATTGAAAATGTAATCTTTAAGCTGAAAAATACTCTCCCGCCAAGTGAAACAATTTGAAAAAGGTGTAATTTGCCAGCGCGTCCTAAAAATGTATATGTGAGGGAAAATCCTAGCCGCTACGGCGTTCAGTTCTGGTTCCCTAAGGCAAGGTAATAAGTGGAATGCCAGTTGGGAAGAGTAGTGTCCTCTGCATAGACCTAGTGGAGAATGGGTTGGCAGAAGTTGGTGGACAGACGGGTGCACATCCAAAGCCGCGAGAGCGGCGTCCGTGGCGTTAGATCACGAGAAGTTATAATAGCATTTTAGTAATCGGGTTAATCGTCACATTCTTTCCTTGTGTAGCCGTTATATAAAGATTAGATATCTGAAGATTCATCATTCTCTTTTATCTCTCCTTCAATCGCTTTCCCCTTTTATCCATGTGCCATAGCGAGTTCGACAATTGCTCATACAGAACAAAAGATTCAGAGTCGGGGGTCCTTATGCGTAGATTTATTGGAGATTTGGGATTATAAAAATAGTTCCTGAGAATCTCGGTAGAACTGCTGTTTCTCACAGTCAATAAACGTCTTCATGGCATTCACTTTCTTGTCACTTGACTCCTTGTTTGATTGAACTCCGTGACTTTACCAGTAAGCGTCTCTTCTTTCTCGCGTGCGTTAACTCGAGGGACACCGAAAACATGGTCACGAATTTAAACATATACAACAATTAAAACACATCTAGATGTGTTACCTCGCTGCTACAGCGTCTCCAGCGTGGTCGTGTGTGAGTCAGCCTTGAAGATTATTGGCCCAAATTAGGGGCCACTGGTGCGCATGCGCACGCCGTCACGAGAAGCGAGAGTTTGAGCGTGGCACTTGGAGTTGAGCCACGTTCTATTAATTAAATTTGTATTGACTGTCAATGTGAAAATCACGACTTCATCAACAGTCACGTGTGCTAATCGCAGGCTGCCTGAACGAAGTTCATTCAATATACGATAATCTGTCATGACCAAAATATTCTAGGATTAGGCTGCGCATTAATCAAAATTACAAACTAACGTAAGTAACCCTTGCGCTTAGACATAGATTTCATACTAGGTGTCAGCGCCGACAGCATGGGGCTCGAAACCATCTAACTAAACGGCAAGTATGACATATTTCATAACATCCCTGGAAATTATAAAGAAACTGCAGCTATACGTTGTGAAGCCTAACAGAACACAGATTTTCCAATAAGGTTGTGTTGCAGGGTGAGGTATATTCAATAGGGCTTTCTAATAGAAGACTTTCTGAACTAAGATTCCTTTGTTAGGTCTCAGAAGAGCAAGCGATATTTACCAATAGTCGACTATTAAACACAGCTGGGGACATAGTTTTGGTGATCGAAATATTTCGTTCTTTAAAGCCGTGACAAAGTTCAAATTAGATTCGTAAGCTTCGTATTGACGGATGCCTTTGGATGAAAAAAGAAGAAGAAGAAGAATATTTTTCAAGCACGCTAATTTTCCTGATCACCAAATCGCAGAGCAGGATATTTTATTGTAAGATCTGTGCATAGAAATCGTAGCAAACTGTAGCGTGTAACAGGCCTTATCCAATACCAATCTCTTTATCAGTATTTAGTTCATGAATATTGGCTGTTCTCAGTACTCCATAAAATGGATCTACGCGAAAAAAGCGAAGATTGCGAAAGTCTTGGCTCACGTTGCGGTACGCCAGGATAATTCTTGAAGCAAGAGAGTGTACATCGGCCTAGGTCTGAATACACTCTATTAGGTTCCTAATACAAGATAAACATCAATGAAAGTAAAACATATGCTTGAACACGTGTCATTTAAACTACTCACACAAAGATTACTAGGGGGCATAAAGATCCAGGACATTCAGAAGTCTCATCACTCATCCAACGTTTGGTACTGCCGTAATCCTAGCTGGTTTTTAAAGAAACCCCAAAACAAGGCAGAATGGGCGTTGGGCAACAGAAGTTACTACAAGTTGCGGGGAAGTCTGCTGATAGAGTTACGACTCAAGTATCAGCTTGTATTATCGCGCAAAAACGTAGAGCAGAGACTGCCAAACGCAGCTCGTTAGAGACAAATGGTCTTGACGGACGGACGAACGTCCTAGCCTTCATCCGTCGCAAGCGATGGGGATGACTTCTAAGAGTCTTCTTTAAACTCCACAATCTGATGATGAAATAGCGACGGATTTGGAAACGCCAAGGGAATAGAATTCTTGTCCCAGCGATTAAATTGATTCCCTCTTCTCAATTGCTTCCGGGGACTTGCATGTCCTCTTTTTCTGACAATCCACAATCGGCAGAAATTCACAAACTGCCTCAATTTCAGATTTTTGGATGTGTAAATGCCTGCAGTTTTGTTCTATTCTGCTAATATTATTGAAATTCAAAAGATAAAAGTGTTTTTTTGGTCTTTGTGGCTCCTAATATGCCTAGACAGATGCTTGTCCTAGAAAGAGCAGCAATAAATAGTTCGATGTTGACGGAGTGTTCAACCAAAATGGTAACTTGACTAATTAGCTAACTGCACTGGCCTTGAAATACCCTATAACGAATGTTTTCTCCCTTTCTTTATTTCATCCACCTGTACTCTACGTATGCACACCATCTTGACCTTCACAGGTAAAGCCGTCAATGCACACGCCAGTCTAACAGACCAATCAGCTGAGAGCCATTGATTCTTGTCTGTGACGCAAGTTTATAGCACTAAAAAGCACGCAACGCTGCTCTATTTAGCGAACGCTATCTGTATGGCTTCTTATGCACCGACCTGAGAGAAGTACAAACCAACAGGAATAACCTGAAGGCGACTGAGGCGTCCTTTTTGCGACATGGAGGAGACTGCTAGGCCTATAACGCAGTCACCACCAGAGTCTACTCGAAATTATAAAACTACAACTACATTTTGTGAATTCATCTGTGCTGGCTGCCCCTGTGTGCGTCGAAGACGTCGTGGCTCGGCCCCCTACGTTATCTCTGTTGCTGGCGATGAACACGTAGGAGTGAATCCTGACACGCGTCTCTGTGAGACGACAACGAGACCTAGTGACCCCTTAGCGACCTCCGATGATGCTCAACCGGCTCCAGTGGAGGAGTCGGTGCTTAATCTGCCCGAACCTCCTGACAAACCATTGACACCAATCTCTGCTAACCATGGGGATGCCACCATCTCCCGTTCACCGGCCCGACCTCGAATTACTAACGTGGCCAGGCAACCGCCGAGAATCGAGACTCCAAGTGAATCCAAAGTAACCCTTGAGTCCGGCGCGGCGCCCATGTTTATGTGGCATTTTGGCGACGAAGAAGACAGCATTGATAATCAGCATTCACAGGCCGACTAATTTCGGCACAGGCGGCATTGTGGTTTTTCAATTCCCCAACGACTACACAGAAGCAAGCAGACCTACTTGTCTCCAGTCCCAGGGTTAAACCTTCAAATAACCTTGTGCTCCATCTGCCTAACTTGCATCCTACCATTGGAACTAGTATGCACAACTGTTGTTTTCTCATACAACATCCAAACTGTACAATTTTCTCAGGTCACCTAAAGTATCTGATCGTCAACGGTAATCCTTTCTTCAAGTCATTCCTGTGCTTGTTTGTTAAACTTTCAAACTCACGTTGTTGTCACAAACAGTACCGTCTTCTGTATGCTGGCTCGATATGACAGAAGAGACATACACTTACTGGAGGAAATGTTTTCATGAAAAAGTAATCAAGGGGAGTAAATCACTGCATCAAATCAAATCATAGATTCCTAAATTTTCTGGATCTTATTTCCAGTTCAAATACATATATGCTCTGATTTTATTTGTGCACAGTCTTGTGTAAAGAGTAGTTTAAAAAAGTACTAATTTCTAACTATGCCAAGTGTATGAGACGTAGTCAGCAATAAAGAGTACTTATAATTAACTCCGTCAAGAGTTTCGGCAATTGTGGCAGACGGTTGCAAGTAAGTCTCACTATAACCAACTCGGTACTACGTCTTGCATATGAAATATATGTATATATATGACAGTATAGCGGTCACAAATCTGGTTAAGGAACCTACGTGTTTCGTTGCACCCTGAAGCTTACTAAATTGCCCTTGCAAGCAGCCGCGTAGCGACTTATGCGATATGTTGATAAGATGGGACCTACAAAGACAAGGGGGACCGCAATAGCCACTTCTGGCTTATAAGCCATCATCAGCCAGTCATACCCAAGCTTATGTGCGGATCACCCGAGATTCGAAACCGCGACATTTGGTTGTTGAGTTTAACGATTTAGCATTGAAATTCGGGCCAGCCGCGGGTTCGAGCTTCGGGTGGTACACCATCTGGGGTTGGATATTACCGGCTGATGACGACTCATAAGTCACAAATGATCATTCTGGTATTCCTTGTATTTTTCGGATCCACTTCATCCTATACCAGAGATTGCTATGCAAATGCCTGCAAAGGCTCTACATGGAGCTCCAAGACACATAGGCAAGAAAATTCCTGTTGCGCGAAATCAGCCCATACTGCGTCTTGCAGGTCTTATAACAGTAAATAAAGTACCATTAGTAAAAAGGAAACAAACTTTGGCTAATAAATTACTATTTACTAACAAAAAACAATAAATTTTCACTAAAAACTCGAATTTCAGATCACTACTCGAACGTTAAAGGTATTAAGTGCAGGGAAAATAAAAGATGCTTAATCGATGCAAAATAGTCACAATTAAAAATATCAGTACTTTGTGGGCTTTCAGTTTACATATAAAATGTATTCATCATATCATACCTGTGCTGCCAGTTTAGTAAATTACAATATAAAACTGTCAGAGATGGAGATAACCAGCTTTTCTTTAGTGTTCTCTTCGATGTATTTACTTAACACAAAATAAAGTTTTTGTGGCATGTAACCATGCTCTTTTGCCTTGTGCCAATTTCTTTTGATAATTGCAAAATACATTCTATAGGACTTAGATACGCACTGGTGAATGGAATAAGAATAGTTTGGAGGTCGCGTGCGGAGAAGATAGCTGTGGTCCAAGAACTCAGATCACAGCTGTATATAACGGCATTCATGGGCGTATAATGGAAAACATACTTTTACAGGATGAGGCTCCAGTTCACCATTCAAAAGACTATAAATGTGATAACATTTATAGTCTTTTGAATGGTGAAATGGAGCCTCATCCTGTAAAAGTATTTTTTCCATTATACGCCCATGAATGCCGTTGGAACCCAAGGCATCCGTTGGGACTAGCTGACTGACTAGCTGGTCACTCTTCGAACTAACTAGCCATCCAAACCATTAATCCTCGACAGCATTTGAATGTTACCGTCTTTCTGGCGTACACAAGGGAATCAGGTATTGGAATGGAAAGAAAAGATAAGACGAGCTCTGGAACGGATTGTTTTCCTATCTGACGTTTTATGCTCATACTCGAACGCACCCTTGGAAATAGACAACTGAGTCAGGACCTATATATTTGTATAAATTGGAAGGCAAGCATCCCAATAAATTTCATTCCAAGGAAAGACGTTCTTTGGGAAATAAGGTAACTTTATTCAGTAAATTTTCGACGCTAGATCCCCAGGACGTCGTCAGACTTTAAAAAATATGCAACGAACAATTAACGTTTCAAAAGTGCTGGATAAATTTACCTTATTTTCCAAAGAATGTATTTCCTTTAAATATATATGTTTGTTGAAGTTGGATACGTTCTTTGGGAAAGAGATCTTATTGCGTAAATTTTGATGCTAAAAACTCCAGTTGTCGTCGTCTTCGTCAGAGACGGAATAAAGTAGATGCGCCAAGAAACAACTAACATCGTGATTACACCGGAAAAATCAAAGTAGGCGTGAAGTTTGCGCCAGTATGCCGTTGCCGTGTGTGTCATCCCTTTCAACTTGGTTCACGTCTCTCTCATTTCTATGTGACACTTGTACGCTATATCTTACTCAATAGGCCGGTTGATATACAATTTCCCTGAGTGCACAGCCTCAAGAAATTGCCAGCATTTCTTGAAAGGGCAGGCAGCCACAGTATGTGTTTTTCCCCCTTGTAGTTGTGCCCAGTGTCCAGGAAATGCATGGCGGAAGGTTTGGAAAGGTTTTCTCGCATCGTTACCACCTATTCGTGTTCTTTTGTAATAGCACAGGCGGTGTTTCCGGTTTGACTACAAAAAATGGCATCGCGCACGCCACATGGGATTTTGTCGAAAACTTTTTTCTTGTTAAAATAGTTAACTCTATTCGCAAGGTGCATTAGTTGGGTGCGTATAGTCTTCGTGACTTTACGCCCCACCCGAATTTGGTGCTTGATTAGATTTCTGTCAGCTAATTCAGGCACTAATGAATAAGAACGTTTGCGTTCCAGGCATTTGCATGGATAAGGGAGAAGGTCTGTCGAGCACCGGAGCAATTGGTTTATTTTCCCGAGCTTTCGAACTTTTACAGGAATCCAGCGTCAGAGATACGGAACAACAAAAAGAGGATAATTATAGTGGGTGTACGCCAATTAACTTTCAGAGATCGGCAGGTCGTCTGAGGTACGAAACAGCAATCAAAATAATGAGAGGAGTATACGTTAATTAGCTGACAGTGATGTCAGGAGTCGTCAAGACGTCACCAACGAAAATTGGGGCAATTATAGAGAGTGTGCACCAATTAACTGTCGGTGGCGGAAGTCTGGGGGTGACTGTACGTGACCGCGCAGGGTCCTTGTTATAACCGAGACCTGCTGTTGGCCGAGACGAGCTACCGACGACAGAAAACAACACTGATGTACAAGCAGAACTAGTAACAGTAAAGTACTATCTGCTACCCTGTTCTGCCTTCCCTTCTTAACACGTAACTGGGGCACATGACCGGTGTTGATAGAGGAACACACTCGGTTATAACAGTCCTGTTCCCTGGCGCCAATCTGGTAAATCGGCTGATTGAGTTTCCATTCGTGGATCAGGCTTTACTCAATTCTCGGCTTGTCTTGTTTTAGGCGTTGGCGAGCACCTTGGCGGCTGCGAAGTTGAACCTATGGCAGCTCAATAGGTGTGAACTGCAAACTGCGATAATTCATCGCATCGTCGTACTGCTAGCCTATATTAATGTATGCGCGATCCGAGCATACGTTCAGTTTGGCCTGTGTAGTTACAATGACAGCTAAGGCATGGGATGCGACATACTACTCCCGTTTTTTCACTGAGATTTAGCCGGTCTTTGGTTTCCATCACTCTGCTGCGCATGGTAGCTTTGGGTCGGTGTTCAATTCCAACACCTAGTCCCGCGGCGATGCGCTCAGTCGCTTCTGAGACGTCCTTGATTTATAGCGAAGCGTGTCATATCCTCGGTGTGACTTCTGTTTGGATCCTCCGGGATTGAACACGTAGGCGTTGGTTTATAAACGCTTTCGGATATCCATTCCGCATACACTGGTCACAGAGATATCGGGCCTCGCGTTCTCTCTCCTCCGGCCTACTGCAGTGGGTCAAAATCCGTAGATTGACTAATTACGTAATTGCACTGGCCTTAATGAATGTTTCTGCCGCTTCTTTGGTTTACCTGTCTCTACTCTACGTATGCACACCATCGCGACTTTGACAGGAAAACCGTCAATGCACATGCGAGTTTAAAGGACCAATCAGCTGGTAGCCAGTGATTCATGTCTGTGACGCACGTTTATAGCTCTAAAAAACACGCCATGCTGCTCTCTTTAGCGAACGCTATCTGTGTACCTTATCATTCATCGACATGAAAGAAGTACAGACCAACAGGCATTTCTTGAGGCCGATTAGGAAGTTTTTCGCAACATGGCGGATAATGCTAGGCCTACAACCCAAAAGGACCACACCGAAAGGCCTTCTGAAAATAATACGTCTCGGTTCAGAGGTGGCACGACAACCGAATTTACGTTTAAATCTTGTGACATAGTTGAGAGCTCTGGCCATATCTCTACTGAAGTTCAATGTAGCGCTGCGCCTATGTTTGTGTGGATGCAAGGTGACGAAGAGGAGATCTCTGAGCCTCAGCCTCCTAAGGCCGTCTAGTCTCGCCGCAGTCAGTGTGATGATTTTTCAATTCCCTAGCGGCTACACATAAGTAAGCAGACCTATGTGTCTACCTCCCAAGGTTCAAACGTTAGGATTACCTTGCACTTCATCTCCCCCACTTGTATCCTACTGTTGGAACTTGTATGCAACTGTTGCTTTTTCGTGCATCCTCCAAACTGTACAACTTTCTCAGGAGGTCTAAAGTATCTTATTCAGTATCCGAAGACCAACTGAAATTCTACATCTGGTCAGGCAATTTGAATGTCGGTGAGCAAGCCAGCTTGTAATATGATCGTCAACGGTGATCCTTTCCTCAAGTCAT